TCGATCACCGTCGAGATGTGTTTACAGATATAATAATAATAATATTAATATTAATAATAATAATATTAATAATAATAATATTAATAGTAATAATAATAATATTAATAATAATTAATAATAGTCCATAATTCTTTGTCACTTCTTGAATTCAAACGCACTCGAAGGCCAGACGACGAGCACACCGGTATATCTATAATTACGTTTCTGAGTGTGATTTTTATTTAAGGAACTTAGATAGCCAGTAGATATATCCACGAGAATTACCGTTAGGGATCTTTTTTAGGTAGCGATTTAGCGTTAGTAGCGAAGGAAAAACTCGTTTTCATTATTCCGTGTTGGGCGACAGAGACAAAGCAACGTATGTGTTCTCTTTTTTACGCAGACTCGTGATCATTTCTACTCTTAATAACCCTTGGATCCGCGTGGATCGAGCAAAATGAAGAAAAGAAAAAAAAAAAAAAAAAAGGAAAAAAAAAAAAATCAAAGCCAAAATAGCGATTATCGTTTTTTTTTTTTTTTTTTTTTTTTTTTTTTAATTAAGTATTCTTGGCGATTGTATCGAGGCGAATAAAGGGCGTAACAAACGATGGAAAGAAGAGATTATAGCGATCGATTTTTAGATGAAGAGAATTTAAGAAAAAAAAAAAAAAAAAAAAAAAAAAAAAGAATGGACTTTGATACACACGAAGAGAAGAAGTTTCTTTTCTCTGCCGAGAGACGACACTAATAAAACGGACGATTATTTTCCAATTTAATCGTTCTTATCATATTCGAGTAACAAGAGCAAGATGTATGCAAATTTGTTCTCGATCATCGTCATCTTCGCAGAGAAGATACTTCGCTCTATTCGATCGAGATTATAAACGATAGTTTCTACAAATATTCGCGATTGCGATTTGTCAGGCGTGTGCTGAATGTTCCATTAGCAGTTAGAGAGAGAAAAAAAAAAAAAAAAAAAACGTTCCGCCGGGGGCCCACCCCTTTTTTGTCTCCATTGTTTTTTTTTTTTTTTTTTTTTCTTTTATACAATTTAAAAAACAAATTGCCGGTCTTATGCCCGTTTTCGGCTAGCTGTGAAGCGTTTCTCCTCGTCATTTGTAAATACGTCATCGCGTTCACCGTGTACATACATAAATATAATACGCAAAATAGCTCATGAATCGAATCAACTAGCACCGAAGCAAACGCGAACAGCGTCGGATAAAATAATAATAATAATAATAATAATAATAATAATAATAATTAATCGAAATTTTCATCGTGTCTAATCACAGGCGATCTATAAGCTGCGTAAAATAATTTTCGTCGCTCTGTAAATGAATTCCGCCCTTTCGTCGATCGAACGAAAGTGAAATTATTGCGATTATATCGATCCAGCACGAAACACGAAACGCTGTCGCCTTAATTAGAAACAATGAAAATTGAACAGAGCCCTCGTACCACGGATACTTGGACGGATAAGGCTGTTTCCACTTTTCCGGCTGTGTTCTATAATTTTATGCTTCGTCGAGACTGATGATTATATATATCTTTTAATAGAGTGAAACGAGTTAATTAGTCGCTTGAATTTGCTATTTCGTCGCGTCAAAAACAACCCTTTCTCCGATTTTCTTATTTTTCCAAAAGAGAAAAATATTTATATTATCGTTAGTTTTTCCTCAATAAAATTAATGGGTAATAAAATGTGTATTGTCACATGATATTATGTATATTTACAATATTTGTATATATTGTAAATATCATATCTTTAATTATATTGCTGAAAAACTATTCCGTGTAATAAAAATGAAAAATATCGTGAATCTTTTGAACTAGGATTGTTTTTATCGCGAACACTTTCTTCACTTCTTCTATAATAAATATCGTATATAATTTCCATCAAGATTGAATTATTCCATTTTTATATATTTCTAAATATCAAAATCGATCCAATTAAAATGAATAATTCTAAAACAATTTTTATTTTCATTATTATAGAAGAATTTGATCAAAGAATAGCCCGTTAACAGGTTAAATTCTTTAATTGACAAACAATATCGAATCGTTTTCACTGTGTAAATCTAAATCTCAACTTTTTAAAGTAGAAGTAATCTTTTTCTTTTTTTTTTAATTATGATTCTCGCAATAGCAATTGTCAAAGATTCTCTAAAATTTTATGGCCAACTTTTACGCTTCGACTTGTTTGTTTTAACCTTTTAACAGCCTTTTTGCACATTTCGTCGAAGATTCGATCCACGGATTGATTTCCAATGAATCTGTTGGTCTCGTCGAACAATAAAATTGGGATGCAAGTGCGAGAGAAACGAGGGGGAGAAAAACGAAAGAAAAGAAGAGAAAGAGAAGAGAACTTATTTACCATAACTCTTTCTGAAAGATAAGAGGAAACGCCACGATTTCGTCCAAGTTTCGCAACGCGGTCCGATTCTCGATTTAATTAATTAATAAAAGCCTAGGGGGACGAAAGGAGAGATGGAAGATCTCGGGGAGAGAAACGAAGGGAGAATGTACGAGTGGGAAAATGTGTATGCGTGCGTTAGAAACGAGTGAAAAAGAAAAAAAAATTGGAATGAGTGCGAAATCGAGCGAAAATTAATGTTTCCTATTAAACAGAGAGAAGAAAAAAGAAAAAGAAAAAGAAAAAATACAGATAACACTGTAGAAATGTTTACTTAACAAGATTTGTAAATAATTGTAGCTCACTGTAGCTGGTCAGTTGGGCATTTAACGATATAACACAACCTCGGGATAAAGGAAGAACGAGGCGACAATGAAGTAGCAAACGAAGAAGAAAAAAAAGAAGAAGAAGAATATAAAGAAAAATTTCAAAAAATTGAGAACACGCGACAGAGAGAATTATGGATATCAAGCACACTCTCTTCGTGTTGTTGCACACGCGTATATGTACACACATAGAGACGTACACACGTATATACGTAAGAACGAACATTTTTTTTTTTTTTTTTTTTTTTTTTTTTTTTTTTTTTTTTTTTT